TTCGCTTGAAGTTTTATTTGTTTTGGACTTCAGATCGTATACATCATCTTTAACCTATAGATATTTCTCTCTTTCTCTTTCTCTCTCTCTCTCTCTCTCGTCTTCTCTTTCTCACAAGCTTAATTTATCACATTATAGGCACAAGTGTTGTGCCGGTTTTTATGTATGTAGGCGCCTCTATTTGCTTTTAAAATAGAAACATTAAATCTATTAGTTTTATAGTTCAACAATTTTGTATTATCTCTTTTTAATTAATTTAAATTTGTAGATTTTGTTTCTGTTTTTCTTATTCGAGTGAAACTTCTTATTGTTGTTCTTAATTTTTGTTATTATAAATTTTTATGATGTTTTTTTGTACGCAAAATATATTAATCTATTAATCTATCTATTTTTTAATTATCTTCTACAATATTTTTATTTAAATAATTAATTACTTACATTAAAGTTCTTTAATTTATTAAATATTAAATATTAAATATTAAATTTTGCGAAAAATAAATTATTTAAGATTTAATTATTAAATTAATTATAACGATCTAAAACATTTATTTATTTAATCCATGTATCTGCACAAATTTCATTATTTTTCGTATTAAATTTGTCATGAAACGTAAACAGGAAATGTAATATTTCTACATTTTTATTCCTATGTGATATACTTAAATTAGCTCACGAATCAATTTTGCATTTTTATTATATGTTATAAGTTTATCTTGTCAAAATCAATATGATTTTGCAAACAGATATAATACATGGGATACAACTTGCAAGATATTTATGTCCTTGCCTGAATTTTCTCGTCTCTGGCATTATTAATTATATAATTATTTTTTCGTAGATGAAGTATAAAGTATCGGAAACATTTATACTCGGAATAAATTTATGAGTAACAAAAATATGATAAAATTGCTGTTTTTGGAAGAGCTATTTGAACTGTGATAAATTATAACAGTTTGTCTTTGTCTTGTTTGCATAAGGAGACTGTATCATTTTCCGGTAGTCGGAAAGGGCTTTTACTGTCGCTTGTACTTAAACGCCGACGTCAATATAGTGGTATCACCGAACGTGTCCGCATTCCATTAGGCTTTACGACCTTCGAGCCGTAAAACCAAGGGAAAATAAACGGGAAGGAAACGTTTCCGTTCCGTTCGCTTGAGAAAAAGGCGACAGCTGATCGGCAGAGTGTCGGGTGCATGTCACCAGCCCCTCTTCTCCGCCTCTTCTTCCGAAGTGCATCGCGTGTCTTAAGGAAAACGCACGTTTAATCCTACCGGGGATATATCCAGGATATTGTTCCTGAGGGACGGAGAGAAGATCTCTCCTGTACGTGCCTCGGTGCCTATACAATATTTCGTAAAACGGAAGACGTCTCATCCGGCGTCGTAAAAGTTTATATAAGGCAGACAGCAAGAAGTCTGATCGTTTAATAATAGATTAGAGATTTTTTTTTAACTTGGCACATCGATCTTACACGGGACTTTTATCAATATTATTATAAAGTCGCATCTCTCTCTTCTAAGGAAGGAGCTTAAAATTTAAATTATCGATATATATTTATAGAACACTCTAGGGGGATAGATAAAATAGCAAAGGCAACATTTTTTTATTTCTCCATAAATAATTAAAATTTAAGGTTAATCGTGAATTAAAAATTTGTTCGTTGACTTGAAACATTGATTTTACAAAACTTTCATTTATATAGGTAGTATTTTTTTCCCTGGAATAGAAAGAGAACTAAACATTTTTCCCTCGTTATAAAACTGAAAAATGTAGAATAATGATAAACAGAGAAAAATATGTAAAATACATAAGCCGAGTTTAAATACATTTTGTCATTACGTTGCAAACTAATAAAACTAATAAAACAATTATTAATCATAGATTGTGGACAATTGATATGCAATTTTTGATATTTATCGCTGCTTTATTCTCTTGTTAAAATAATATATAATATTTTAAAATGCACGTATCTTTATAAACATATCAAAAGATAAACTCGAAACTTTGTCATAATAATGTTGATATCACAACACGACTAAATAGTTTTTAATTAAAAGCTTACAATAAATTAAACTTCCTAAAATTGATTTCTTCAACTAATTTCAAGACTACGTTCCTCGAACAGAATTTTAATCTAAAAGATTAATTTACGGATATTTTTAGTATTTAAAGTTGATTAATATACTCCGATGGTAAAAATTTAAAATTAAAATTTAATGAGCTAAAGAGACAGGATTATGTATATCTGAAAGTTGATGATATTTATGTATTACTATATTTGAAAGCGTTTGCAGATAACGAATTCAAAATTATCGTATCAATCTGCCATAGATTGGAATTGTGTTTATTCAGCGGTGAAATACCGTTGTCAACACTAAATGACATTTAAAGAGTTTAGCTATGACTGCTGTAAGGTTTGGTAACAAGATGTAGATGAAACTTGGCTGTCCACAATGTCTGACGTAAGGTTAAAAGCGTTCACAGGGATAAGACGATGATAAGATGGACAGAGATCAAGAGTCGAGTGAAGTTGATGGGCGAAACAGAGTGAGAGAATGGGAGCGAAAGCAAAAGGGGCAGAGGGAGAGAAACTTTCGTCGGAGGGCGGTTTGCTCGCGATAGAGAGGACTCGGTGGCCTGCGGTGGAGGATGCGGGGATGAGAAAACGAGGGAGGAATGGGGTTGGGAACGCGGGAGAGAAGAATGGGAGGCGAAGGTTGCGGGACGCGACAGCCAGCGAACGGCGTTCCCGTAGAGAAGGAGACGAGATAGA